TTTTAAATGGTATTCAGTTCTGTCATGCAATTTTCGAATCGGTTAAATAAATCAGAGTTTTTGATTTTTACTACTTTTTGTAGAAGTTCGTTTTGCGAACGGCGTACATTTTGTATGTTGCAGCGCAGAAGTTACTGTACACAGAACATTTGTGTTGGTGAGTATCTGTGTGAATACTCTGTGCACGACAAAATTATTCGATTAAGATGCTCAGCAGTGCTATTTTTCCTCTCGGTCGCAAAGGTCTTCTAACGGTGCGTTTTTCCCAAAAAAAATAAGGTGTCGTTTTCAATGATTTTATGTGAAATTATTAAATAAATAATATGCAATTATAATGTGTACTTGATACAATTGTAAAATTTCTTAGTTCAATTACGAAAATTTTAAAATATATATTTGAATAGATATATAAAGACATATCTACATATATCTATCACTGAACTAAGGTGGCAAAGATAGTGCGAATTGGAATCGAGAATTGTACAAGATACTCACACTCATAAAGGAATATATTTGAAGAAGTATTGGTGTTAGTGTTGTGTTAAAAATAAAATGGGTAAGAAGACTTTTAAAAGAAAATTTGATAAATAATTGTGTTTTGGCCAATGAACGTCAGCAGTTCATCAAGATTTAATTGTTATATTATTTGCCGATATAAAAGGATTTGTAAACAATTATATAAAACAGTAATCAATTGAATAATTTGTCTCTTAGTATTTTATTTCGGCACTTATTTTGTCAATTTTTGAAGCAGTGCATGAAGTATTCGAAGGCAACCCTCTTGCGCAAACATACATGCAAAGCATAAAAAAAGTCCACTCCCTGTTTTAGTTTTTCTTATTGAGTAGAATTCTAGTTAGAATAATTGTGTTTTGGTAAGTTCGAAATTCGAAGAATGATATCACCATCGATTGAATGTACGTTGGTTGAACTTTTTTACAACATTTACCGTTTACTGCAATTTTACTTGCCGTTATAACCCGTACTTTGAGAATTATTAATATTTTAAATGAATATCCCATTTTATTATATTTATATATGAAACAAGAAGAGCATTAATATAAATAAATTGTATTATATTACACATCTCTGCGTTTTGCCGAAATTAATGCTCTAATGAAAATGAAACTGTTTTCCGTTTCGTTTGTTGGCTCTCGATTTTAATAGATTAGTGCATCTCATATCCCGTAGGAGTGAAGCAGCTACTACGAGTTGAATGTGGGTCACAACTGCACTTGACTCTTCTTCTACTTAATTAAATTCTATTTTTAAACAGTAACAAACATAGACTTCGGAAAATACACATATAAAAATATCCATGAGCATAATACTTTTGTATATCGAGTAATTATGTGAAGCGGATATTTCTTATTTAAAAATTAAGAGCTTTTGAAGGCGTTACTTTGAATTTATATCTTTTGAAAGTTATGGGAAAACAAAAAATCAAAACAATTCATATGGGTATGCAGAGCAAAAACGCATCGTAATAATGTAATAAGCAAAAGCAATTAATGTGTCTTTCACTTTGTTCTCTTTCTATTTTTTGTTGCATACCATAGATAGGCAATAGTTAACAGACCTTTTACATTTCACTTCACCTGTGTAAATTTTGCAAGCGAAAAAACATTAGCCACAATGTTGATGGGAAATACTTTTGCTGCTATCGTTCACAGCCATGCTATTTCCTCGAGTCTTCCCGGTAAAATGTAATGATTGAAAATAATAAAATATAAACATTTTAGTACAATTTAAAAAAAGCATTAAATACTAAATAAAGTACATTACTTTATACTATAGTGTTATAGTGTGTAATATTTTATGAAATGAACATTTTTATGAATTGTATAAAAGCCTAATGAAGTGATATTACTACTAAATTTTTCATTACAACAATTAATGAAGAGAGGCAATTTTTTCAACGAATTTATTTAAAAGAAAAAATAAAAAGTTATCATGTTTATTTTAATACCTGGAGTGATAATAAAAAAAATTTCTATAATTAGCTTGCTGATTAACCAAATAAAACTGGGGAATGAAATCGTAATTAAAAAATTTTTTTGCCCTGTTCATTCCTAAATTTTTTAAAGAATTTAATTTCATTTTGTAAGTTTTATAAAATAATTTCAAATTTCTCCATTTGAAATATTTTTTAAATGATAAAATAAAAGTAATTTCGTATAAAAAAATTTTATGCTTAAATAAACTTTTGTATTTCCAAACACTCCACAAACTCTACTAGCAACAAATACGAAGCTCCAGCGACGAAGTGATTGTTTGTTAATGATGCTTTCATGCTAACAATGACATCATCGTTTTGTAAAAGTGACCTCTAAAGTTATGTCAATTCTTTATAAAATGAAAACTACAATGGAAATCATATGTAGTAATTTTGTTGCAGGTTTCTAACCACTTCGTGATATTTAAATAAAGAATATTTAGTTTTGTTTACATTTATTAAATGGACATATAACTGCTATGGATGATATAAGAATACATAATTCAATAGCTTTAACTGCTACAAATTAATTATATATGCATATACGTTTAAAATTATTGCATAATAGTTATCAATACCTATATATATATGGATACGTCATTGTTGTACTTATTATTCAAGTCGTGTCTTATCAATAATTATAAGCATACACATATAAATATATAAAGACATTTTTATTGTATGGTGTGCTCAAATACACTCAATACGGTTAAGTACTGAAAGAAAAAACCACGAGTGCCTTTGCACAATCTTATAAGGCAATCAAATGTTGCTTGCTTGCTTGCTATTACCTCTTTTTTAATACCAGTACATAGTATGTATGTATAAAAACCTCTTCATTAAAGTGTTTTACATTTTTCTGCTAACCTTATTTTTAGTATTAATTTAGTTCAAGATTCTATTCAAATAAAATTTCTTCAAATCACAGTAGATTTTATAATTTAAGCGCAACTGTTAAGAAGTTAGTTGATTTACTGGTAACTGTGACTACTGGTAACCAGTGTTGAAAAATATGAAAAACCTAAAATTTTTAAACTATTGTAATCATATTATAACTTTATATGAATTTAATTTTTATTAGCATACAATAGTTACATATATTTTAAATTGTCAAGAAAGTTAAAAGCTCGTAAACGTTTTAATAACGGTATTTTTTATTGTATTATTATAGATTTTATAGTTAGAAAATTCTTCTAGTGAATTTTATATACTAAAGCTGTAAAGTAGAATAAAATGAAAAAGTTAAATATCTTGGAACACAACTTAGATTAAAGATTCATTTGGAACATTCATATACAAGAAAAAATAATAATATACATTAGAATTGTAAAATCACTTCGACCAAGTGAGAAAATAAACATTAAAAACAATATGAAGATTAACAAACACACAAAGAGGTGTAATTTTCTGTCCCGATGAATATCATATACTGACATTGTATAATTACGTATGGTTAAAAACTTAACGTTAAAGCATATATTTCAAGCCTCCAGACATAACTAAAAAAACATAAATATATGTACGAGAAAATGGATTGCGTTATAGTTAATACTAGATTCACACGAGAATTTTGATTTTAATTTAAACTGTCATTTCAAATTCTTCTGCTAGTAATTTTTGACAGCTAAAATTACTTCTAAAACTGTCGTATGTATCCAATATAAGGAACCCTTCCAATAGTCGAAAATAAAATAAATTGTAACTAAAACATACTAAAAGTTTGAGGAAATATCTGAACAGATCCCAGATATACTGTTTTAAGAAGTCAAATAAAGATTATGAAGTTTTCTGAAAGAAAAATAATTTATTAAAATATTTCGTTTAATACAATTTTAAAAACAGTTTTTATAGTTTGACAGATACAAAATATACAATGTAAATTAATTGATCTGTAATAATATATATTTTTTGCGCAGAAATAATAAGAATATTATAATACTATAATACATACATTTTGAACTTGAAATACATTAACTAAACCAAGAAGAAGAAGACAGCATCCTCTAAGAGTGAACGTTTGTGACACGGAGATATGGTGGGAGGATAGCATAAAATATCTGGGGGTCACTTTTGACAAACGGTTCAATTGGCTTAAACATTTGAAATACAAACGGAATAGCTGCTCTAAGATTCTACATTTATTAAAGCCGCTATTTAATAATTATCACTTCAACTTTAAAAACAAAAAGTTACTTTATACGCAAGTAATTAGATCAGCACTACTGTACGGATGTGTTACATATAGCAAAGCCTCAAATACTACCTTAAAGCAATTACAGATAGCTCAAAACCTGGCTTTAAGAAGACTGTTTTTAAAAATTCCATGGTATATTAGATTAACAGATATACATAGAGATCTTAGGATTGACTCAGTGAAAAAATATATCAGAGACAGAGCTCTGAAATTATTCACTAAAATTGATACGCTACTTAACCCCGCACTAACAATCCTCAAGTCCACTTCTGGATTCTTAGGAAAATAAGCTGATTTATCAACTAAAAGACAAATAAATGATTTGATTTCTTAACCTAGTTAAAGCCTAGTGTGGGGTAGTGATAAGCCCCCCAGCCATTATAGAGTAAAAGTGCATTAACTCAAGAAGAAGAAAAAGAAGAAGAAGTAAATAATTAGACCAATTAGAATGTTTTTATCATTATTTAGACACAAAAGTTTTAAATCACAAAAACAAATTAATACAAATGTCAAAATGTTTTTTGACGACATTTAAATTTTTCATATTTTTTTTTATTTTTTTTTTAAATCTAAATGTTGAAATTTTTTAATTTTTTGCTGAAAGGTGAAGTGCTCCAATTTCAATTGAGCGGTATATATATGACTTCTAATGCACATATATGTGTTTACTAAAAGATGATTATTATTGTGAACTCAACATTATACAATATCGAACATAATGATAAATGGTATGGTGTTATAATTATTACTTATAGTATCATTGTTAGTTTAAAAAAAAAACACTAATAATACAAATAATTACGTAAATTTATATTTTCAATTCATTTTTCATTTCGCAAAACTACCATGCTGGTTATGTGTATTTAACATAATATTCTTAATTAAAAATCAATAACTTTACTTTTTACTTTTTATTAACATTAAACATTAAGTTTAATAAAACATTGAAAGGTGAGAATTATAATGTAAGATAGCGGCACAAACCAATAAAATTCTTATCAAATATCATGTGCTATCAATAAAGGGTCCAAACTGTTTGTAATAAATTGAGTGTTTTTACAATTTTTATACTTCTATAATACTTTCAATAATAGAGTTTTGCTCAATAATAGAGTAAAACGGAATTGGGAAATTTAAATTAACTTTCATGAAATTGTAATGTTCTAAACTTTCGTAAAAAAATAATTATATTTTATATTCAAATATTTTCTAATCTCTAATGTAATTTAAAAATGTTTTTAAGTATGATAGAACATTTTATTTTTAACCTTTATTTTCCATTACATAATAATTGTTGATGGAACAATTTTTTTTTTGTTTTTGGTAATTAATTATAACAACTTTCAATAAACAATAACGAAATTAAAATTAAAATTAAAATGCTTATAATATTTAATATAATAAAATTCAATATTTTAACTTAGCTTATTTTAAATTTTTAAGTAATTTTAAAATAACATTTTAATTTTAGTAATTTACATTGCAGTAATTTTAAATTACAGAAATGTAATTTAATTAATTATATATATAACTTTGTATTTGTAACTCTAAAAATATTAAATTTTTTTCAGTACTTTAACGTTCAAACCATAATTTATTTGCAGTGTTGGTAATTGCTATAATAATCATTCTTACGGAAGTTTTTTATTGATGATACATTATTTAATTTATAAAATATTATGTTAATATTTTTAATTTATTTTAAATTTGATTTAAAAAAAAATCTTATAATAAATTGATCTAACTGTTCTTAAAATTATACTGAACATTATGTTCAAAAGGTCGCCTTATGCAAGTATTAATTTAAAGTAAATAATTTGTATGTATGCAAATTAAACATCATGACTTTTATACTTAAAATTACACATATTTTATCTCTGCTCAATTGAAAATTTATATTATATTCATCTTTGTATATAATGTTACGTTTCGTTCTCAAAATAAATAGATATGAAAACTGCGTATAAAGCATTGCTTTATTTTATGAAATTTAAAAATTTCATTGAAACATCATCTGTTGGTTCTCCTTACCAACAGATTTTGACACAATAATCAAGCACATTTCACCCCAAAGTTTGATTTAGCAAAAGCCTTCCCTTGTTATTTTAGTATGTAGCGAGATAAAAAACCTGCAATAATATCATAATAATGATGCCGGCTGACGGCAAAAAGCATATACCATATTAAGTTTATTCTGAGATTTGCGCAGAAAGAAAAATGAATAAATTAAATTTTAAAATGATGTAACTGTAATTTAATTGTAAACTTATTTAACATTTTTAAAAAATAACTAAAGTTTAAAAAATACTGTTTTTTAATACATCAAACAAAGTTTGTGTTGTAACATTTTGTGATTGTTAAAAAAACAGCACATCTCATATTTAAATAAAAATCGTATTTGAATTTCAAACATGAAATTATTTGTAAATTCATTATTTTTATTTAACCTGTTTTTATACAAACCTTGAATTTTAAATTAAAAAAAAAATGGACTGTATTTAGAAATGACGTCATTTAAAACAGTGACGACTACAAAAGATAAAGTAAAATTAATAAAATAATTTGAATTTTTAAACATTTAAATTTTCTTTAAAATTAAAATTTATTTTTAATTTTGTTTTGGGGATTATAGAATTCCAAGTAATTCTATAAATTTTCAACCTATAAAGAACGAACATTTATTTGATAAGTTCAAGTCTTGTGTTAAATGAAATTTTTTCAATTGACCTCTTGACTTAGTAATAAAATAAAATATAGAGTAGAAAAATGTTAAGCTAGAATTTCAATTCAAGTTTTAGTGTACTACCCGAATTCTTTAAATTTTTGAATGTTTATAACCTTATACATTAAATTCAATTTTCCCACATGGAAAACGGGCTCATTTAGTATATAAAAAGTGGGTTGCCCTGTTTCAGTGAACCATTATTTTTCTCTAGTGGTTACAATTATCGTCAAGTATTCTTATATGACTTGCACAACCATAATGTTCATTCCATCTCTCTATCCTCATCTTCATTTTATGTAATTATTCATTGCACATTTTGACTCTATTAAAGCTATTGTAGGTTTAATCGCTTCTTTATTGTGGACATCAAATCTCTTTTATTTTTAACGTAATATCTCAATATTAAGCAACCAATGCTTATCTTGTAGTTGCCTGAAAAAAAACTGTTTTAGTCTCAAAGCAACAAATTCCTCCTGAATTTTTCATAGACAAGATCTCTACATCATACATTAAGATTGAGAGATTTAAAAATATTTTTACTTACTAAAAATAACACAGTTCTTTACAATGTCTGCCGAAAAATTTTAAGGTGACTTGTTTATTTATTTTACTTTCCATTTGCAACTGTTTGCTATATGTTAAGACATTCCAAACCGTACGATACTATGATCATATAATCATAATCAACGATTTGAAGTCTTTTGATTAATAAGATATATTGTATTTAAATTATATGTTCTTATCACATTAATTTATTAAACGTTTTTAGATCACAGAAAAGAATGCTTCAATAAACTCATTAAAATCTAAACTCAATAAACAATAAAATCATATGCTCACAATAATCATATATCAAAATCTGCTATCTATACAAATTATCTCCGATCTCCGTTACTATAATCTGTGTTAAGTTTGTAGTGTTTACATTACATAGTAATTATCGTAAATATTTCTTTCAAGATCTGTAAATTGATGAAAACGTATTCAGTATTTAACGCAAGGGAGCAATTCCTTTAATTCTGTGTGATAGATATACGTGATATCTTTCGAAAAATCGCGAAGATATGCATTTTTATTAAAATCAAATAGTAATAAATTTTGTATATAATCAGTATATATTTTTATTATGAACTTATTATTAAGATGGCAGATTTCATCTGCTGAATACCAGTTAAGGTAACATCAGCAGTATCTTAAAGTCCAAATTAATAAATCTAATATATATATTTATTTGAATACATACCTTTTCACATTTTAGCAAGTAATCAATAAAATGTACAAATGTACTAACATATTTTATGATCAAATTTCAAAATATTGTTATGCACTAATAACACAAATGGTAAAGGAAAATTGTTCATAAAATTGATCATAGTAGATTGAGTTTCAATAATTTATTAAATCAGAAACAATCATTTCGTATATGAAAATAACGAACAATTTTATAGTGTAGATAAACTCTTAACCGACGAAGCTTTTTATAGGTTTCCCGTAATTAAATTTACTTCCCATGCTGACCCAAACCTCTGCCGACCTCATTATTTCTTATGACTTCACGTATTTGAGTAATTATATTTCTAATACATGCTCAACATTTGAAATAAAATTTTTACATGTCCTATTTTATGGATTGCCACACGCAATAAATTTCTGCAGTTGCTGTGTCGAGAGAAGAACAAGTACAAGTACACATGTACATGTCCATACCGGAAAGCAGCATTGTCCATATAACCAAATCATGTTTTCATTTCATTTTAACATATATCTACAAGATACTTTTTATGCGATTTTACTGTATGTCTCTATTTTACCTTTTTATGCATATACATACATCGTACGCATAGCGTACGGTCGGTGATGTTATATTCCACAATTGTATCTATTATTCATATTTTGAACAAATTCACACATAGCAAATTTTATATTCCGGCTAAAAATTCATTCTAACAGTAAATCCATTCGAGGTCTTTTTAATTTAAAAATTTGTTCTTTTCTGTTCTTTCTGTAAATATCGAAATTTTAATTATCGCATCGTTAGATGCAATTAGCATGAATAATATTTTTTGCTCTTTTAAATAAAAATTGCCAAACAAACAAACTTCGCAAAGAATTTGTTTGCATTATTTATTACTTATTTTCATCTACCTTTAGAGGTGAATATGTTTCTTTCCGTATTCTCGAGGTACTCGTGTATGCTTTCTATATAGGTCAAAATCAGATACGAACAACTACTACTGGTTCATACATTTCAGCCGAACAATACAAGGTTTTCAAGGCTTTCGATTGCAGCAAATACAGATACTTCGTCCTTGTGCATTTGTTTTTAAGTAGCTTTGGAATTCATTACATTTCTTTAAATTCTTATAAATTTAATAAATTAAGTTATGAGAATATATGTAAATCTTTTTTGTAAAAAAGAATGTACTCATTCTTAAATTGTTTTAAATTATACTTGACTATACTTGAATCAAAATAAACACAAGTATTAGATTTAAATCTTTTTATAAGTATAATTGATAAAATTACATGACTGGGTATACATATAGATACAAACTGCAGATTCTGCGAAGAAAATGAGGAGTCGGCCACACATGTACTGTTGGAATGTCCTGCGCTTATGCACATATTGAATAGGTTCCTGAGAATGTCTATTTTTACGGGAGAGGCAATAAAACTCTGTAATAATAAAAATATAATTATACTTAATAAAGAATTGTTTATCTTGTTATTATTAGTTATTAGTTGACTTAGAGAACTCAAGCACTTACTCAAGTAGTTTGACTTTTTCAGGTACAATTATAACTGCTAGCCTATAATTCGAATAGAAGAAAGAATCTCAATATGAACTCTTCTGGAAAATTTTGGAAAATTTTATATTGTATAAAATATATATGTGCATAACCTATACATACATTATATAATTCCTCATTTTTTTTAAATGCTTTCTTTGCCTTTAGTTTGTGGTTAATTTCGTAACTATTTTATATTACAAAAGCTATATGGAAGATACACTTATTATAAGGTATTTCATTGATTGTTATACAAATATACCTTATGTAATGTAAATAATTAAAAATACAATTGCTTAAGTGTTACAACATTAGAAAAATTAATACATATTCATATATATATATTTACATAGAACATAAATATAAATTTTGTTTTAATTACTACGTGTTTGAGGCAAAAAACGATCGTGCTCTACCCCACATATTTGTAAGGTTACGACTATTATTATTTAATAATAAGTTATAAAATAAAATTACTGTAAAGTAAAAAACAAATATTGAAAATATTTACTAGTATAATATTATGTTACAATATATAGAATAATATATTAATAATTTATAAACAAATATTTGAATATAAATTACAAATTCTTTCAAAACTTTTGTCTTTTGGCTTCGAACATATTTTTTAATTTAATTTTTGATATAAATTTTTTTGCAAATCCATTGAAAACTAACGATTATATAAAATACACATAATAATTTGTTTTATTTTTAGGAAAACAAAAAATTTATTGTGCAAAATGCGACAAAAAATGTTCTGGAGAAGTTCTACGTGTGGCAGATAAACACTTTCACAAGGCATGTTTTCAGTGCTGCCAGTGTAAGAAATCACTAGCTACAGGTGGTTTCTTTACAAAGGATGGTGCTTATTATTGCATTCCTGATTATCAGAGGCTATACGGAACAAAATGCGCTGCCTGCCAGCAATATGTAGAGGGAGAGGTAGTCTCAACTATGGGGAAGACGTATCATCAGAAATGTTTTACGTGTTCCAAATGCAGTAAGCCATTTAAGTCTGGAAGCAAAGTACATACACATACACATTATTTAAATAATGCGTGCATCTGAAGCATTTCTTCATTTCTAGGTTACTAATACTGGCAAGGAAGTATTATGCGAAAACTGTGTTGCAGGTCCTGCTGCATCGCCTGTGCAAAAAACTAATGATATAGTACATAAAGATGGCACTGCATCGCCACCACCGTTAGCAGAAAGTCCTACTAGGGCTACAGCACATCAGCAGATGAGTAATGCGATTTCAGATAGGGCTCGCATTAAAGAAGATTATGATCCGAACGATTGTGCTGGTTGTGGAGAACTTTTGAAAGAAGGTCAGGCATTGGTCGCCTTAGATCGTCAATGGCACGTTTGGTGTTTCCGATGTAAATCCTGTAACTCCGTTTTAAATGGAGAGTATATGGGTAAAGATGGTGTACCTTATTGTGAGAAATGTTATCAAAAATCATTTGGTGTAAAATGTGCTTACTGCAATCGCTTCATAAGCGGAAAAGTATTACAGGCAGGAGATAATCATCACTTCCATCCAACATGTGCACGTTGCACAAAGTGTGGTGATCCATTTGGTGATGGTGAAGAAATGTACCTACAAGGTAGTGCAATTTGGCATCCTCGTTGTGGACCTGGTCCATCGGAAGCTGGTATAATTTTAAATGGTACCGGTGTTACTAGCAACGGTAATTTTACAGATACTGAATGCGATCGCATTAGCTCTAGTGCACTTAGTGAAATGGTAAGTTATTTTTCAATTGAAATATATACATAAATATTATATGGCATGGCGAGGTGCACCAATTCTTTGGCTATAAATACACTTATCACCGAACAACACATTCACACCTTATATAAATATATACACACATATATATATATATATATATATATTGAAAATAAAGACCCGCAAAGCCACTAACCACACTGAGCACTCGCCTGCTCGCATGATTGTCAAACTGCCGCACCTGCCGCACCTGCTGTACTGGCATCCCTCCTATTTTAGAACCTTATGATTTATCCTATATTATTATGCATTTTAGTTTTCACTTCTTTATCAGCTTGCAATGGTTTTTGTTGTTGTTTTCAGTACATGCGTTCCAGAACACCGAGTTTTAATGGTTCACTTTATTCCTCTAGCCGCAAGGTTTGTTTTTATTTTATATTATTATTTCATTTTGTTTATATTATTTTTTTCGTAAATACATAATTTTTATCCTATAAATACCGCTGCACATTAAAAGGGCGCTAAAGTGCTAAATATTTTACTAATTTAAACAAATTTATGATCATAAATTTATTAATAACATATTATAACAATTATAGCACTATCGAACTGTAAGTCCTGGTTTGATATTGAGGGAATATGGTCGGCCTGGATATGAAGACATTTCACGTATTTATACGTATAGTTATTTGACGGACGCACCTCATTATCTTAGGAAGCCAATTGATCCATATGATAAAACACCATTATCACCACACTTTCATCGCCCATCTTCTTATGCGACTAGTACTGGTGGTTCTGTGTCTGGTAGCAGGCCATCGTCGCGTCCACATTCAAGAACGCGCAGTGCTATGAAAGTGCTAGTTGATGCAATACGATCAGAAACGCCACGTCCTAAAAGTCCAGGTATGAACAATGAAGAACCTATTGAATTATCACATTATCCAGCAGCGAAAAAACCACCACCGGGTGAAAAACCAAAAATTGAGCGAGATGATTTTCCTGCACCACCATATCCCTACACAGATCCTGAACGAAGGCGACGTTATAGTGACTCATATAAAGGAGTTCCTGTTTCAGATGAAGACGAAGTCGATAATACCAAGAATGGAGAAGTTCAATTGTAAGTTATTTTAAATTTATTAAGTAAAAGACATTAACTTTACTTTTCAAAAACTACCAGACGACTACAACGAGAAGCTGAAGAATTAGAAAAACTCAATTCTAATATCGGATCAGTGATAGCCAAAGATCTTAAAGAACATGCTAAATATAGGAAATGGAAGCAAAATAATTTAGATCCAAGAAATGCATCACGTACACCATCAGCATCCAAAGAACCTATTCATAAATTAAGGTATAGTTATCTATATTCGAATCTGCCTAGGGACTACATCTTATACACAAGTTTATTATATTTAGGTACGAATCACCTATCGGTGCCTCGCCATCACGTAATTTGGATCATCAGAAACCCTTCTACGAAGATGAAGCGTTCGATCGATCAACCAGCTATAGAGGTTCACTTGGTAAATCGCTTGGCAATGCGCCTAGTTACAACGGTAATTAAATTTAAAACTTCTATTGAAGACAGTTAGTTTAATGTAATGTTTTTATATTAGAAAAATTAAAACTAATTTTAGGTTACTTAAAAAGAAAGGTTAGAATTTCAGAAGAAAATAATTTATGTATAAAAATGAAGAAAGATGCAGGGCTATTCGTTAAATATATTTTTTAAATATTTTTGATTTATTTAAAAATAAAATTAACTGCAATTGTTTTATAATTTTATTTACTTTATAATAAATTTCGTATGGAGTATAATACATTTTAATTAAGTTATATTATGATAACCATTAGTTTAAATTTTTATTTAAATTTTAAAATATTTTTTTATTATTATTATTTCATGGATTTATAATTGTATCTTGATTTTTGTTAATTATTATCTCTGTTTTTCATTTTTAATCATTTTATTTCAATACCAAATATTATTGTTAGCAATACATTCCTACCGATCGCCACCAAAGCCTGGATATGGCTTTAAAACATCAACCTTGCCGCCTTATATGCGCTCTGGATATAGTTCAGTAAGTTAAAGATACGAGTGTTCTTTGAAATATTTAGCCGAACCATTTCAACGATGCTTCAACAGAATTGTAACAATAACACAATTGTGTAAAATTTAATTATATATATTATATGTGTACAAATATCTCTCAGTATAGGTGGTCATAGATTAAACTTACTCATATATAAGTACTCAATTATGTGCGCAGTTGTATAGATCATAAAAGTAATATAATATTTACCTACATTTCTATTTTTACTTTCTGCTGCTTATTATTATTATTGGGTACTGGAATTGCTGTTTATTGCCATTGGTTGCTGCTAATGTACTTGCTGTATGAACACCGACTTACACTAACATTAATATGGGTTCCTGGTGAATAATTCAACTTTTTATATAAAATCATAACGATCATTTATGAACATGCACGTATAAATTCAATCATCCATACAAACCACAAAATTGTCATACCTCATCACACTTCCAACATCAACGTTCGTTCATTCATCTTATCATCTTATAAATTATAACTAAAACACTCAACACAATGTTAAAAAAATATGCAAAAATGTACAAATTTCGACGTCGTGTCGTTAGTGGTGAGCTCACTGCGTCATATAATTAAACCCGGATACGGCTTGGCTCCTCGTTCTCATACCTTTAGTTCAACCTCATCCGCCGGTGCAAATGTACATGGTGGTGCAGTTATTGTAAGCGCTTTAAATGTTGTTAATACTTATTTTATAGAATTTTCATTTTGTTAATCCAATTATTTAACAATTATTCTTTAACATATATAAACTCGAATAAAAAAGTTTATGCATTAACCTAGTTCTGCATGCGAGCACAATTGAAATGAACATATAAATTTATATTTTATAATAAAAAATTATTAATAGGCTGATAGAAATCGAAGTTAGATGTTTTTTTATTTGTTGATAGTATGTTAATAGTACTTTTTATACTCAATTTAAAATTACTGATTTTTACAACTATTAAAAATGAAATTTAGTGCAGTGCAAAATAACGTGTGCTTTTTAAAATGCATTTAGAACCCTTAATAACAAATGTTTAAAAAATCTATATTCAATT